GATATAGCAGATGAGATCTGTGTGCAATCAACTGACCTCATGGCTATTCCTATCGATCGATGGCCTCATTTCTTAAACTTATTCCTTTATTGTTTCTATTCGAACCACTCGCCTCTTCAAATATTTACGGCATACCTATGCATAAGTTTTAACTGAACGCGTTTAGATCTTCGACACATTTCTTTTTCGTGGTTTTTCAATGGGTTTTCCAATTTGAATTGGAAAATAATTTACTGCATTGTTCATCATCTTATTTAACATGATACCTTTCATTTTACGCCGTTTCTTGCGTTTCACATGCTAAATTGTATGCACTCTGCAAGAAGTGAATCAAATCTATGTGATTTTGAGACGCATGCGGAAAATATGCGGTTGAAGTGTGCATATTGATGAATTTTTGGTTGCATTCAGAAGGAATTCTCTTTCGTATTTTCAGGATGTTGCTGCGGTTATTACTTTTAGCGTTATGCTGGCATTTCTCGGCAGCCGACATATTCACATCAATCGCACATATGGAAGCATTACAAGAGGCCGAAAAATTTGTTCCAAAAATCATCGAGAGCTACGTTAAGAGTGAGATAACTCGCTTGGAGAATCTGAGGAGGTTTGTTAAATGTGCCTCTTTCCAGTGATCAAAAATTTCACTATTTACAAACGTATCGCTGATCAGAACATCCAGAAGTAGTGGATCAATGGAACTACTGTGAAATCCTCGGTGCCTCGTGCGACACTCTTCTTTTGGTATTTCCAGCTAGAAAGTCTGATATCCAGATCTTCATCCGATACACTAGTAAATATTCAGTTCCATAAATTTTCTGAATTTCAATGAATATCATCGATGCTGAGTCTATATGTAGTTGGGTATTCGAAAGTATCGTAAATGAGCGTATTCAGTTTTCAGATTTGCAGCTGAATATCAAAAACGTAATCAAATGACGATTGCAAACGGCCTCGAAAGGATCACAAACCCGATCAGTGCCTTTCTGCTCATCAAAGAATTACTCGGAAATTGGCAGCAAGTTGAGGATCTAATGAAAAAGAACGAAGCACAAGGATACATACAAAATATGACATTGATGCGCAATATACGCCATATTCGTTATCCAACTGAGGTAATCTGAAATTGCTACTCGAAAATTCACCA